GCGCTATTGGGCATTTCTTGGCGAAAATAACGTGAAAAAGACAAAATGGTCTATTAAATCGTAAAAAAGGCTTCATGTCACAGAATTATAAAGGGAGTAATACTTTAACCACACATTGCGGGTCGCACCACTCCCTCGCTTGGGCTTAAGGGTCCCTAGATTATCTAGTATCACTAAAACGTTGATTTTTACATAACAATGTGTCCAAATTCAAACTTTTAATGACAACCGTTACCAAACAGCAGAAGTTTCATGTTCCTAATTTTAGAGTAATGAGACCCCGACAGATGGTTGGAGTATGTCAAATTTAGGGCCTGGAAGGCCTGTCCTTAACTCGTCTCGGGTGTCAGCGCCGCAGGCCTAGCTATATGTGCGCCAGGCGCGTCGCAGCGTAACAATGTTTCGTGAGATATCGCGAAGCCTGTTACGCGAGACGTGGTCTGGCGTACATATAGCTAGTAACTGTTAAAGGTTCAAAAAATATCGATTCGCTGTACATGTGTACTTCCGCAGTAGTTCTACCAATTTTTCGCACGCGTATAGATAAGTACGTGCGCAAATTTCAAAATAGAAGGACGGGAAGCTAAAGTCGATGTTGCCAGTGTTCGCCACCAGATGGCGTTTCAAATCTTCGGGGAATGTTGAGTACAAATAAATGTCAATATTCTCTAACAATATCAGAATTTGAACATAGTTTTTGACTTTTTCAGAATAAGAACGGTTATCCTCACATCGTCTGCATCTTTAACGTGAACATTCAACACATAGTATGGCGTTGTCGCTTAGTAACATTTAGCTCGCGCTGATAATATACAACAGCCTCTCACCTAGGGTGCTGACCCGTCACAATCGAGTTGTGCCTGTCCTTTCGTAAGAAAATGAAGCATCAGGCCCAGTAATTTTTAACAATTGTCAACTGTCTAATTCGATAGTGTCACATGCAATGGGAGTATATATGCAGAACAATCCCCGGAACTTCCTTGATCGATTCGAAACTCTCACAATCTCATGTTGTTACTTTTCACAATAAATGTTATGAAATTTCATAACATAAATGTTATGACTTTTCACAACATTTTTGTTATTAAATTTAATAACAATGTTAGTGTTAATGCTTCACAAAAATGTTATTAAATTTAAGAGAAAATGTTTAACAGTTGACTCTTTCTTTTGCCCGACTCGGGTGTCAGCGCCGCAGGCCTAGGTAGATGTATGCCAGGCGCGTCGCAGCGTAACAGTGTTTCGTGAGATATCGCGAAGCCTGTTACGCGAGACGTGGTCTGG